GTCGGCTCCAGCTCGTTGTTGTGGGCTTTCTCAATGACCTGGGAGGTGAAAGGCAAACTAACTTTTCTGCACTATATTTTCCCTGACAAACTGGTAATACCGTGTTGAAATACTTTGTCCTTACTTCTATCACATCCTGTTTGGCTTTCTTGATTGTGTTCTGGATGTCAAGGTATGTCTTGGCATCAGCAATGGAGTCACCGATACCAATGGAATGACCTGAAGATGATAGAGAAAACTCCTAAATATAAAATAAAAAGAATATAAAGAGTTCAAAACAATATTGCAATAAAGTTATAATAACTATACTATTTTTATTACCCTCAATGAGCAGCCAGTTGTTGACCACAGTCTGAATGTTGGAGTAGAAGAGTCTGGTGATGTCATGACCCATCTCCAGGTAGGAGATGTGGACAAGGGAGCCGGCTGATGTTCCCAGAGACTTCTTACACAGGATGCCCATGATCAACTCACCGTTCTCCACTATGACCTGTGTGAATGTGTTGGAACGTGAGGTTACTTTCAGTGCAGTCAGTTTTTATTATTTGCTCTACACATAATCAGGATTTGTACCTTGGTGTCCCCAGGTGAGATGTGTTTGTAAGGACCACTATCCTCATCGTCAGGGTGAGTGCTGTGTGTGCGGATGACATTTATGTGGCCAGGAATGATGAGACTGAAGATCTGCTTCCCTGTCCACAGAGGACGGGGTTTGAGGATGGCTGGCTGAGGCATCTTCCCGTCCCAGGTGGAGAGGAACATGAGGAGATTCATCACTTCACCCTGTAGTGGAGACACCAGCCAGTGAGTGGAAAGGTGATTTAAAAAACAAAAATAAACTCTACAGAACTCCTGACACACATGAGCTTAACAGCTGAGATGCAACAATCTTCTTACCCTCTCTAAGAAGACATCTCTTTTGGTGAATTTGCGCACAGCTGTGAGGGTGTCCTGCACAATACCCATGACAGGCCTATTGGACTGGGGTGTGACAATCATACGTGGCACCATGGCCAGCTCCTGAATCTCTGCCCTTGTTTCAAGGGACTGAGGGAGGTGGAGGTTCATCTCATCCCCGTCAAAGTCAGCATTGTATGGGGTGGTGACACTGGAGAAAGACAAGACAAACAAGATGTTAAACCATATTTACCATTCACATTTGGAACTCTTATGACAGCCAGGAATTTGTACCGAGACCCAAATTATACAGTATAAAAACTGCTCTAACATCAGCTCTGCCACATTCTGAAGAATATTTAATGATTTCTAATACAAGTCCCACCCTGTTACAAAGGAAATATGTGTAAAAGCTAACGAGGTCTGGTCTTCATTTGTTACCTGAGGTTGAGTCGAAATGTGGACCAGGGCAGAATTCGAACCTTGTGTCCCATCATAGACATTTTATGTAGTGTAGGCTGTCTGTTGAAGATGATGATATCACCGTCACACATGTGTCTTTCCACCTAAACAGAGAAAAACATCAGTTTCAGTAAAGATTACGATATTTTAAATTGCATAATAAAATGCATTCCTACTAATAAAAGTTGTTCTTGAACAATGTATTATCATTATCTTGCCTTGTAGCCAATCTGAAGATGAAGGTCACTTGGTTTAGGGTGGAATCGCAGATCTATTCTGTCTCCATTGTCACGGATGATGTACTTGGCTCCTGGGTACTGGCTGTTGCCTCTTCGCACCAGCTCTTGCAATCTAAATGTCAGCAGAATGAATTAGCTGGCATTAAACTTTTTTTTTATTTTTTTTTTATAAAAGGTTCTTGTACATTAAGTCTGTTGTACCTGTCAATGTTAAAAGGTGTGACAATTTCTGGGAAGGTCATGTTGGCTGCGATGGATCGTGGTACACCCACTTGGTCAATTTGTAGGTTGGGGTCTGGGGTGATGACAGTTCTGGCAGAGAAGTCCACACGTTTGCCCATCAGGTTACCTCTGACTCGTCCCTCCTTTCCCTTTAGACGTTGTTTAATAGATTTGAGAGGGCGGCCAGATTTTTGCATTGCCTGGGAGAAGAAAATTTAAATTTAAGCACCATAAAACTTGTGCATAACTGAAATAAACAGAATTATATGGTGAAATATGGATATATATATAAGACAATGTGAAATGAACACTTACCCTTGGCAGGCCTGGCAATTCGTTGTCCACCATTGTGGCTACATGAAACTGAAGCAGCTTCACATCCTCAGCTATGACATGAGCTGCTGCGCCACTCTGCTCATTTCTTCTCAGCTGGTTGTTGATCTTGACAATATCAGCCAGCTTGTGGGTCAGGTCATCCTTTAAAACAGATGTTTGAGGATGTGCTGTTACACAACTTATAAACATGCAGGAACCAAAAAAAAAAAAAAAAAAGTATTTTAGCAACAAATCAAAACATTCAGTCTGGGTTCATTTTGCCTCACCTGATTGCGAGCAGACCCCTGCATGACTACAGCAGGCCTCACAGCCAGTGGAGGCACAGGCAGTACAGTTACAATCATCCATTCAGGACGGGCAAACTTGGGGTCCATGCCCAGGATGATGTCCTCTTCATCAGAGATGCGCTTGAAGATCTCATGAACACGCTCAGGACTCAGGAGGATTTTCTTCTCTTGTGAATCTTCATTAACGTGTTTCCACTCAGCATACAGCTCCAAGCCAGAGCGTCTGATACGTGGCTGGTAGCGACCACATCCGCCGTGACCCTGCATAGGTCACGGAGTGACAGGTGAGAGAAAGATTATGAGACATAAAATGTGTTGAGCAATGCTGTGAACGTTGAGAGGTGAAATGCACATTAACTTGACAAATACCTTCTCCTTGTTAAGGTCCTCTTCTGTCTCCTGTTGCTCCATTCCAAATTTGTTATCCATTTCCTCACCTCCTTCACATATATTTTTTCCTTTGCACAGCTCATACACATGAGTTAAACGCTTTCTGGGTTGCCCTTTAGATTTTGCCAAGATGTCTTTGATCTTTGGATTGTTCTAGAAGTAACAGCATTGGGAACAAATTAAGCAACAAAAGTGCAAAAGCTATGAAAGATTAAAAAAAAAAACAATATTCCACACATCAGGACTTTTATCATTATGCAGTGTAAAATGGACAGTAAATATACTTACTGAATCTACTAATAGCTTGGAGCAAAAGAAGCAGACACATCTGAGAACTTTCATTATCTTCGTTATGAAGCCAACATGGAAAACTGGCTTTGCCAGTTCTATGTGCCCAAAGTGGCCGGGGCATTCTGTCATGTTGCCTGGGGGAACAAAAGCCATTTAAACACTAGCTCATCCCATCTGATGGGGGGGGTAGCCAATTGATCAAAAATATATTTTAGCATGAAATGCTAACATAATAATGTACCTGCACACGTCTGACATCTTCCAGTTCGTTCTATGACCCCCTGTCTTGGGTCCATAAGACCACCAAGTTTAGGACGTCCTCCTTCTGTTGTTTCAGGGTATTTGATTCCCCCTTCTGTAACCGACATCCGTTTCTGGGGAGAAAGACATGTGTGTATATATATATATAAATAAATTGATGCTGATGATCAGCAGTTACATATATAGCACCAGTGCTAACAAATTTCCATAAATATTAATAAAAAAATCTAACATTTAATTATCTTAAGTAATGAAATCTAAGCTTCCAGAAAGACCCCCCCAAAAATGTACACTTCAATTAACAGATGAAAATCAAAATAGACTAACTTTACTTAATTGCTGCAAGGAAATAAAACAAGTCTGTAACCAATAACTTGAACTTTGCTATGTGTAACTTTATGCTCAATTACATACCATAAAAAATAACCCTATCTACATTATACCTACTAAACATCCAATCTTGAGTTAAAGAAAACATGCATACCTGACATTCTTTAATTTACCTTTTATTGATTTATTGAGGGGAGAAAACAGCTCAAATCGTACAATGCTGACAATAGTTTAAAAAAAAACAACAACAAAAAAAACACTGTCCACTATAACGAACAGCTATAATAACAAAAACCATGACTTACTGGTGAAAGTAAATGTGACGTGACATTACATAAATAAAAAGGGCGTTTAATTCATGTGATAGCATGGATCCTTTATAAATGTAATGTGTGCTTTAGGTTTTTCCAACTTCCTGCAACATGCTAGTTAGCACTAGCTCCACCAGCCTCTAACAGCTAGCTAGGCTAGGCTAACAGCAACGGCAAGCATTTTTCGTTGTCAATGTCCTTTTCGATACATGTTAAACTACAAGATTATAGAGGCACTATAAGACTGTGTGATCTGTGAGAGAATTAATTAAAAAAAAAACCACCCAGTCCCCAAAAAGTAAACCTACAAGCTCATCTGGGCTGATGATGCCGAACTGAACTCTCTTGATCGTGCGCAATGGGCATGCGCTGTCGCCGGAGGGCGGTCCGTGCATCCTGTCTATTCAAAGAGCCGCGTCCTTCCTCGGCACGCCGCTTTGTGAACAGGAACAGCCTTTAAATTGTCGCCACAACTCTGCTCAAGCCGCCAACGGTGACCGGAAAGTCTCCGAAGGCGATAGTCCAAGGACCTCTGTTGCCGGTTGCCTTTATATTGAAAGAAAATTTATCCTTGGTCCTAAGTAAACTAACACCAACTACTCCCCTCCCTTTTCCTGATCCACACTCTTGAGCGCTCTAAGCGCTTCTGAGCGTGAAGCTGTCCACCGCTTGGTTATATAGACTGAGTTGATGCAACGGGGTTGCTCACTCAAAAAGACAGGGGCCGACTCTTCGGAAGGTGGGACATGGAGATCGACGGTAAAACGCTCATTGGCCATTCAAGACAGTAACATGAATAAATAATTTTATGACACGTACAGCCAATGAGAGAGTACGTTTATTTTTCGACGAATCAAAACTAAAGGAGGGCTTTAATTTAAGCCGAGCTAATTCCTATTGGGTTTAATAAAACACCGTAGGTGGCGCAGAGTGTATTTTGCATTGTAAATATTAATATTCAATTCAAATGCTCCTAATTCGTCCCCTTTGTTATTAATATTGAGTAGTAGAGAACAGCGCACCAATGGCTATGTGGAAATGAACCTTCTTAGACTAATTTCAACAAGGCCCGCCCTGTTTCCGACATTTGCCGAATGTCGCCGATGTGATTTTCTTCCCTCAGAGCAAAAATAAAAAAAATCTCTGTTCTCCCGTTCGTCTCGCTGTGGATCTGCCTGGGCTCTAAGAAAAGAAGTTCAGGGCTGAGGCCTGTTAAGCTTTCTGGCGTAACATGGAAGAAATTATCGAAATACTTTATATTTTTATCTGGAAACATCGTTTAAATGGATTATTTTTGGAGCTATTTTTAAAATACGTTGACGTGTCTGTTTTTCAATTTGCGCTTTTTTTGATCTGTGGGACTTTGTTGCAAGCCTCGGACTCGCTTACTAGAGATGGCTGGCCAGTGGATTGGATTTTTCGTATGCTTTATAGGAAAGTCTGGGCAAAGCCTTAAGTGTTCTTGTTCCACTCGTTTTTCAACGGATTAAGACCATTCTTATTTATACATGTTCTTTGTGTGATTTATGTCAGATGACTTTGTTCAACTATTTTTATGTTTTTATATTATTGTTAAAATGTGACATTTCGTCGTAGGCCACGTTTCGAAAGCAGTCTGAACTCCCATAATTTTGGCGGTTGAATAACATTATTTTGCCACTGATTTTATTACTCGAAAATCTAATAATTATTAGTCATTACAAGCTAGTTGATGAAATTTTTAAATATCAACTCTCAAGTTTCTTTCTTAGCGAAATAACTTACTAGTAATCTGGTTAGCTAGGGTAAGACCGCAAACAACGACGGTATGGTCCCTGCCGTTTGCTAATTTTATGTTAAAATTAGTCATTTATTGTGTACAACTATTGTTTCCTTAACAGCAATATAACGTATGTTTAAGTGGTGGTATGCTTCGAATGTCAAATATGTAAGATAAGGTAGCCGGATGATTTAACATTAGCCATGTACTAGACGGTACCTCACAAAACGTTGCTGCTTAGCATTGCCGGCTACTTATTAGCTAATTAAACCCCTGGTTTCGTTAGCTAGCTTTTGTCTTTGTGTTATGGCTCTAGTGTATAGGGATTTGTTTACAGTGGAAATGGAGTACGCCCGTGTATTGTATTATAACATTACATTAGATTAGCCGAGAAAGCTTATTTTAGCTAATGTACGTAGTCCGTTAGCGCTCAACATGGCGGTGTTTGACGATATTCTTCTTGTTGTGAAAGAGAAAGATGGAGTCTGGAATATTCTTTTTGGTTAACTTGGTCGAACAAAGAGCTGCACAGTAGAAAAACATATTTGAGCTCCGTGGCAAAACGGATGTGTGAGTATTTTTGTTATGGAATTTACAAAGTGGTAGGATAATTAAGTGTCGAGACCGCTTTGAAATGAGCTGTCCTGTGTTTTTCAGTAGTGTAAATTCCTCATCGGTGTCGAATGTTGAAGCCATTTTGCGTTGTAGTTGCATGTGGATCCGTTATTTGAAGGCTAAGCTTGCTGTTTAGTCAGAAAGCTGTTTTAAACAGCTGGTGTTAACGTGGTTGTTACAGTACCAGCGTGACATTGTTTTATTGATTATTTCGATTGCTTAAAGTTTAGTTATTGATCTTGTTCTCGGAGACTAGGAATGTCATTAGATGGTTACACAATAGATTTAACTTGTACGGTTAGCCATTGCTGTCCAAAAGCGAAGGGAAATGGTAATGGCCGGTCAGTGTTGTTGGTTGTTTAAATGTCCAAAGAAAGACGGTATTGTGTTATTGTCAGGTCAAGAGAGCCACAAATCACCATTGTCCCATTCAGGCAGGGTTAAGGTATGTGTTTAAGATGCTGACATATTTCTTTTGACCCTTTTTGTGCTTTGTCTTCATACCGTAAGAAGTGGAAGTAAAAGCTAAACTGTTGAACCACCAGTATACCATCAGTATCTCTGATATGATTGCATAATGTCACTTTGTTGTACCGCTGGTTACATGAAATGGCTCTGTAAACAGTGCTCAAGAGAACATTTTGTCATATTGTGTTGCAATTGTTACTGCCTTTTTTAAAATAAAGACACTGAACGAACATGATAAACTGTGGGTTGTTTATTCTTTGGGAATTATTTAGTTTATGCTTGCATGTTATATCTGCTGAGAAGGAGAGCTGAGTGCTTCTGTGCGGCTACCAGCATGAACATGCCTCTTTGCCATCATCTCTTTTTTTTGCAGGTCCAGCAGAGCAAGGCATCATTCAAGCCCAGAAGGAAGGACTGAAGCCACAGCTGCAGTATCCTCACGAAGTCACACCATGTACAGTTTGAGCTATTTTAGTAATCTAAAAAGAATACATGCCAGGCTTGAAATGCATAGAATAATGTGACTGTAAATCACTTTGTTCACCATATGCCGTGATTATACAAAGGATTTATTATTGAACAGTTGGCTCCCTCCTCTGGCTTCTAGGGAGAACGCTCAGCAAGCACTGCAAAGATATTGCACAACCATTTTTTTCAATGCGGAAACAGGTCCCCCAAGGCTGACAGGCATGCGCCCTCTACTGGTCTAAGCAGGTTAGTGCATAGAGGCTTAATGGCGTCAGTTGTGTAGTTGGTTGAATTTAATCAAAAACCTTAAATACTTGTAAAAGCTGATTAATGAAGAAGTGTTCTGAAACTTTATTTTATATACAATGTACTTTATTATTTCTGCTCATTTACTGGAAGTGGTACAGATCAGTAGGGGTAGTGTCTGTATCAGTATATCTGTTCTGCCTTTTCACATCACTGCTTTCAGTTAAGTGGGGATTGCACAAATGCCTAGGGGGAAAAACATGATACTCAACATCAGATTACATTACAAGTACATATACGTCCTTGTGTGAAGTAACGTTATATTTAGTTAAGTACTGTTTTGAAGTACTCATTTTACTAGAAATGCTTTCCTTGAAGGTGGTATGGTGGTGAAGTGGTTAACGCTCTGGGTTCGAGCCTTGGCTGACCCAGTGCTTTTCTGTGCAGATTCGCATGTTCTCCCTGTACCTGCATGGGCTTTCTCCAGGTACTCCGGCTTCCTCCCACAGTCCAAAGACATGCAACTTTGGTTGATTGGTGACTCTAAATTGTCCCTTGGAGTGAGTGTGGGTGTTTGTCTACATGTCTGCCCTGTGACAGACCGGCGACCTGTACAGGGCGGACCCTGGCTCTTGCCCAGTGTCAGCTGGGATTGGCTCCAGCCCCTCATGACCCTCTACAGGATAAGCAAGATAATGGCTGGATGGATATTCTCCTTTATTAGCTGCTCTACGTTTTAGAGAGAAATATAATTTATAGTATCCTACATTTACCTGATAGCTGTTTTTAATACTTTGCAGGTTTGGACTGACCATTTTCTATGATGATTTGTTGTAGAATAACAGAGTCGACATTAGGTGTAAAATTTTCTTAGCCTTAAAAAGCTACAAATGCCGAGTAATGCTTGCAGGTTATTTCAATGACAACCATCAATAATGTATGTAACAGCCTAAAATTCCAGTATAAAGTAAATGTTTTGCTGGTAAGACTGGCTTTTAACATTTTTACTTCAGTATTTATTTTTCTTACAAATAAGCACTTGTGCAAAGTAAAATGGATTTAACGTTAAACTGAGCTGGAAAAGTCTTGAAATCTGTAAGATTAATGAGCTCATTTTAATTTGAATCATTTCATTTAAATTAGGCTCGAGGAGTTTCTTGCAGATCTTTGCATTCATTGTTGTACTGGTGTCAAATGTTGACTGAAAATGTTCAGAAACAGCTACATTTTTTGTTTTTTTTTTTTTTTTTTTTTTTTTCAGCTAATTGGTTTGAGTTGGAATTAAAAGGTGGTTAAAAGGGTTTTAATCCAAGCTGAATGGTGGTTGATGGTTCTTGCACCTGGATATGTATGGGGGGGGATGTCTATAGGTTGTTGACAATAGCTCTTTTAGAGGAGTTGCCTCAGTGGTGTATTGTTTCTGAAAATAAACACTACATCAGTGTTAGTTCAGATTATAATTTATCTATTCATGCATATACCGTACATCTAGCTGCATGCGTTTGTCTTCCAAAGACATAAATTGCAGGACAGAGCAAGGATTCATAAATCTAGGGAGAGCTCTTGTCTGGTGATGTCAGCACCTAACTGTGTGTTTTCAGGGATGAGTGAGGATTTAGAAAATGGGGGAACCTTGTAACTCAAAAAAAGCAGGTGAACAAGAAAGGAGAGAAAGCAGACGGGCCTCAAATTATCCAGTGTTCTTTTGTCCATACTGGATTTGGTGATCAAAGTTATAACTCCTTGTTTCATAAAAGGCATCAGGTCCTGTCCCCTCCTACATGTTCTCATGTAATACATTCATGATGGCAGAACAGGTGGCACATTTCTGCGATTGGGCATGGTTTCAGTGTCTTCACTCGACACGCCCCCAGTATTTTAGGGGAGAGAATACTGATTTTATCATGATTTTTAAAGCTGGTTATATATACTTGGCTATATTTTTAATCATGTGAATTTGGCTGGGTGGTTAATAGCATTTTTCTGTGGTGTGACAAACTCAGAGCATATTTATTTACACTTTACCTTAACTTGAAATGTATTCTTCACCAATTAAGCAACAATTTAGTCACCGTCTGTGAGCATGGAACCAACTTTCTCCAGAAACTGTAACCAAGAGGGCATGTCCTTAAGAACATGTTCTGTTCATCCCTGCTGATCAGAAAATTGAGGTTTTCTGGGCATTGGTAGAGTTTGCGAATCAGATTCTGGACAGCTGCTGATGTAAAAAGTAACCTATCCTAGTCTACAGTAGCAGTATAATTCTCAAAACACACACACACAAAACCCCCCCCAAACAAACTGGTAGGAAATATATTGAGTCACAGCAGTTTTGTTTGTAGTTCTTGCGTGCAAAATAAGATTTAATCGCCCATTATTATACGAACAAGTTAAACGTTTCCTTTAGGCTTCATTTTTCTTTCACTTGTGTGCCACGATCATGTTTTGTAATAAAAGTGGGTGACGCAGGATCGGAGGCATTCCCTTTCTGAGAACCCACTGGAATAGGACGGCCCTTTTCTGTCGGCAAGAGAATGTCCTGTTCTTTGGGTGTTTACTTTGGCTGATGTCAGCCCCTGCCAAGCATCCTCATCTTTTTTTATCCTTCTTTTTATCATCCACACAGTCTTTCAAGCCTTCCAAATTCTCATCTACTGTCTTTTACACAGGATTCTTTTCAGGCAGAAAATAGTAGTCAGAAGTAGGAATGAATGGATACAGCAGAGTTTTGGAGGAGATCTATGTTTTGTTAAGGTTCTTTCATCCTCTTCCTGGAACTATCTGGGTGCTAAATTAATTGCTCTTGATCCCACCTCGCATTGCAGTCGGCTTAGTGCTAATCTGGGGTTCTCACAGTGCAGCCAAGTCTCGTCTGGGCAACGCTGCTGCACTGAGCTGTCCGCTTCGAACTTCTCCCAGAATTTTGACCTGTGGCACTGTCTTTCGTGCTCCCCTTTGCCATACATCCTATTTTGTCACTATTCTTCTCTCGCTTATTCTTAAGATTTTGGGAAACCTCATTGTTTTTATTGTGAATCAACTTATCCTCCCTCTTTTCTGTACAGTTCACTATTGTAGTCACATGATTTGTTTTTCCTCCCTCACAGAGCCGTCTCCCTAGTTGTCTGATCCTCCCTCTTATGCTCGAACCGTTTTCATAATTTCTCTCACGCCCTCTTCTTCTCTCCCTTGCTCAGTTCCCTTCGTCCCTCTCTGTTGCACGCTGAGCCTCAGAGATGGCCACATGCTGCCTGCAGTGGCTCTTTCTTGGCTTTACCACTCACCCTGCCTTTTTCCCCCTTTTCTCACTTTTTTATGTTTAGTTTTTCTGCTCTGCTGCCGTTGTGTTTCCCCCTGGCTTGATGCCATTGCCTATGACCATCTGTCCCACTTTCTTTTTTTCCCCACTCCTTTTTACTGCTCTCGTTTTCCTTTTCTTGTCATGTCAGTACAACTAGTAGTGATGTATTGTTTTATTTTTGATCACAGGATAAGTTTACCCTATGATACAGCTGCTCAAAAACACTTTGTATCTTTCTCAGCACCGTCTTTCCGGGAGGATTCTGATCAAAGTGTCTGTGTGTTATTTAAAGAGGCGTGCAGAAAAGCAGGGTTGTTTACAGTACCCTCAAAATAGCGGCTGTCTAGAAACAGGAAGTACCATTGCCCCAGAGTGCAGCAGCACACAGCGTCAGCCAACATGCAGCCACTTCCTCCTCCTCCTCTTCACGGCTGAACAGAGGCTCCAGCAAAACAACCCTCACGCTTATCAGAGAATTATGCACCCCTCCCCTCTGCTGCCTGTAAAGCTGAATGGCGCACATACACAGCAGGCTTTTCACCCTTCCACCATGTCCTATCTTGCTTTCTCCTGTTCTTCTGTGCCCACAGCCCCCCTCCTTCGTCTGAATGTCTGTCTTCGCCAGTACAGCATGCCTGAGTAGCTGCCTGGAGATGAAGGACCTAATTAATTTGATTTAGCTGTTCCCTCTCTGTAGCAGTGGAAAAACCAGCCGCCCGTCTCCCCTGCCTCCTCCACGCTGTATCAGGCACCCCTCCCAGATGATTTTCCACCTATCCTTTCCAGTCTCCTCTGGCAACGTCCATGCTACGAACCTTCTCTTGCTCTCCTCCTTTGTTTTTTCTTCCCTGTTACGCAACTGTATCTTGACAGCAGTTTATGACATATCAAACTGATTGAAAATTGATGTAACTCTTATGTGGCCTACACCCATCTAATCCCTCTTTTTAGCATTTTATCTTGTGTGTGTGTGTGACCAGGGACAGTTTGTGTGACTCAGCAGTGTTTCACTGCTCACACAAACATGCTCGTTATAGCTCAGTGCATCTGCTTCGTGGATCTGACAGAGGCCTGTCAGATGACGAAACCCCATTTCTCTTATTTGATACTTGGATGGATCCGTCCAGTGAGTTACAGTTCTTATTAAACAAATCCAGCACAACTATACAACTAATTTGTCAGCTGAACTCTGTGAATCCTTTCTGTGCTGTCACCCTGTATATGAGGCATGAACTTTGCAGCATGCAGGTTGTTAACAGCTGCTCAGGATAGTCTGGCGAGCGTGTGCTTTAGTCCTTCAGTGTTGTCTTGCAGGCAAGGGGTGGTGCAAGTTTGAACCCGCTAACTCCTCTACTGGCTAAGAATGCCTGAACATCTAGCTGCCGTAGAAATGCAGGTTCTGTTAGATGCCAGCATAATGAGCTTACTATCTTTATGTTACATATTATGCTTTTGTGACAGTGCTGGACAGTGTCTGTTGTGACACTTTATGTCCCCTGTTCAAGATTTTGATCATCTTTGGATGACTAGAAGTAAAATGATCTAGTAATTCATAAGAATTAAGGATTGCCACAAGTCTGGAAATAAAAACTTTTGGCAGCAATAAAAACCTTTTTTCAGTGTTTCTATTCAATAATCTCATAAGGAAAAGACAGCTTTCACATTTAACCCTTTTTGTGAACTGACATACAGTTGTGTA